TTATTAAAACAAAACTAAAAATATATTTTTTACTTAGAAAAGATATAGCTAAAATTAATATTTAAGCTTTTATTAAGGAATTTTAAAAAATGCAGGCAAATTTGCCTATGTTACAGATAAAGGGATAGTATATCTTAGAGTTAAGACAACTTAGTAAATTTAGATACTTTTCTTCCTTACTATGTGCAGATAACAAGGCATAGCACACTTCTAAATTTTTGTTCTTACTGAAAATAGAGTAAGTACATCTTAGAGATAAGAATCTTATAGTCTGAGACACTCTTCCTTCCTATTTATAAGACAACAGAGTATAATACTTGCTTTTCTTCCTATTTGTGTAGACAACAAAGCATAATATACTTCTACTCTTGTTAGTATATAAAATACTAATCTTTAACTTATATTTTATTGATAATAGTTTTTGATATGCTCTTATTTTAGGCTTTAAATAAGTTTTTAAAGCAATGAGATTATCTTTTAAAGCTTGATATACTCTTTTTTTTGAAGTTTGTGAGAAACTAATAGAAAAAAATAGTGTCAAGTTTTTATTTTCTAGTTATAAACAGGTCTATACTATATTTTATATTAGTTTGATTTGTAATTTCTAGTAATATAAAGAATCAAAATTACTAAACAAAATGTAATAGAAAAGCCAAAGATACTAAAAAGAAAGTTAGCCTATATGATATTAATTGTTTGTACTGTTATTTATAGACAAAATTTTTATCACACAAATGTATACAAACTTTTTTTATTTTACACTTATGTAATACAAGTGAATCTACAATTTTCTAATATATATTAAAGAGTTTTTATTAAAATATTTTTAATTGAAGCTTATTATCTCAAAAATTAATCAATTGGATATAAGTAATTATACAGGATGTTTTATAAATTTAGGTTTAAATGATAATTAGTAATTAAAGAAAGTAAAATCATTAACTCATATTCTTCTGCTTTTTATTATTCTTCTATTTTATTACAATAAAAAATCATTTATATACAGTATATTTGAATCGAAATTTCATTTTTAAATACTTATAAAAAAATTCTAAAAACAAAAAATTCTAGGTTTTAGCTATACATTATTTACAATATTCCCATACTATCCCTTAAACTGTTTAGTTTAGCAGGTAAATTTGCCTGCTAAAATTTTTTAAATTCATATCTAATCTATTTTTATTAAAAATAAAAATATTAAAAATTTTTTTTTTAAATAATAATAATAATTAATATACTATTTAAAAGTTATTTTTAACTTTTTAATATTCATAAAAAATTTAAAGTTATTTATAAAAAAAAAACTTTACAATTTTTTTAAAAATTTAAATTTAATTTATTTTATTTTTTTTTTTCTTAATAAAAATTTAAAATCTAACCCCTATTACCTTAATAAAAAGTTATAGAGAATTTAAAATTAAATAAATTTTATTATTATATTTTTTATAAATTATTAAGCAAAATTTAAACTTTACTTAGTAGTAGCTACCTATTTTTTTTTTAAAAACATATAAAGTTTAAAAAAACTTTTTAAAATTTTAATAGTAAAATTAAAAAATTAAATTTATTAAAAATGTAATTTCTTTGTCAAAATTAAATAAAATAATAAAATTTAAATATACTGTATTATTAATATAACAGATATCTTCAAGAAATAGAGAAGGCAGGCTTAAATAAAATTTGAAAAAAATTTAAAAAGCTTTTCAAAAATCATTTTAGCGGGCAAATTTGCCCACTAGACGGTTTAAGGAATACTCGATTTAGATATATCCCTCATGAAAATAGCACGATAAACGGATTATTGATAAGAAAATGGAAAAATTGAGATATAAGCATTAAGTGATGCTCTTCTCCCAAAGTTGCTTTTTTGATGCATCTGCATAAACATTATGAAGATCATATCAGAAACGTAATTTGGAAATTTTTTGTCTGTCCGCACGCATGTTCAAATTTGTTAATTTAGTGTAATAAAATATGCTCCGGCTACGCATTTTCCTAGTTAGGTAACCTAGCCAATGAAAACCTTATGTTGTAACACTATTCACGCTGTAATTTTGATTTTAGCGCTAATTTTTTTGTTAAATCCTTTGAGTCTTGTGCATTAGCAAATTTCCTTAATAGGAAAATTGCTACCATATGCACAAAACTCAAACGATTTCAAATAATAAAATAAAACTAATATGCGATCTAACGTTAGCAATATGATTGGAACACAGACTGCAAATCATTCACGGGACCCGAAATTATCGATTTTCATTGGTTTTTTCCGCCTCTCTTTCAACTGTCTTCGTCTACTATATTAAATTGTAAGACTGTTGCCTTTTCTTCAACCGGACATTGCATAGAAGTGCATTACATTTGCTTGTACATAAAGAGTCCTCTCTTCGCTTCGGACAATAAATAATAAATAATAATAAAATAAATAAAAATAACCGTAACTAATAAATTCCAGATACGGTATGTAACGGCATTACAGTATAACGGCGTTATGGCGTTATGACACGACGGCACGGCAAAAGGATTTACAAATCTATACATTTGCCTCATACGTATAATTTTAGCTATCCAATAAATTGTATAAATTTTGTTGGAAGATTCTGTAATACAAAAGGTTCTGTTTTTAGATATACTAGTTTTCTTTCAGTGACTCATGGTAGAATTCGCAGCTTCGAAAACGCTAGATATTTTGATTGGCTGGACAGCTTTTTTGATACACGTGCTCTCTATTTATTATAGCGTTTTAATTGATTAAATATTCTGATTGGTTGGACAACTTCTGCGCACAATTTGATCCACACATGAATAGGAAAAATTGGAACAAACGAAAGATAGTAAAACAAAAAAAAAAAAAAACTTTATGAAAAATATGCTGCATTAGAGAATTGCATTTATAAAAACCAATTTTATTGAATATATTAGTTATAATATAATTTTTTAAAAAAACTTTAGATTTGTGATCATGTTTAACATATATTTATTTTATAAATAAGTATACTATACTGGAAATGAGTTGTTTTCCGCGTAATAAATAATCATTATGTACAGTACATATATAAAGTTGTAAAATAAATGTCTATAGAGGAGTGAATGCTATATGAAAAACAGAGATGAATATAAAAGATAAATACAAAAAAAATAAATACCCAGTTATAATCAAACATATCAAAATAATTACGTATACTTTTTTTTTTTTAAATTAAAAATTTTTTTTTTCACATTAATCAGATACACTTTCTTGTTCCTTTGAAGATTCGGTTTCTGTTCTTAACTGCTTTTTGAGTTCTAAATTTTCTTGAACTAATCGTCGTCTACTCTCACCATCAGATCCTTTCCATTTAGAAAGTTTATTTCTGTATTTTCTATCTAAGATCTTCATAGCAGCTTCTACACAGTCTCTAGTACTAGCTTCAGGGATTGTCTCTAATATCCAATTAATTGTATCAAACGGTTTTTTTGAATCAGACTGTTTTTCTTTAGCAGCTAATACTAACAGATTATCACCATTATCATCTTTTATGTCAACTCTTGCTCCTCGATTCAATAGTGCATCAAGAACTTCGATTGACCAACCAATCTTTACGGCCAAAAACAATGCATTAGGTGCATTATATGATGCTATTGTTACTTTTGATGGAATATTTGGGTCTGCTCCTTTTTTTAGTAAGGTCAAAATAATCGGTGTGGTCTCTTTGTGTCTAAATCTGTCAGATAAATAGTACGATAATAATGTTTGTCTACCATGATCCATAGCATTAATATTACATCCATTATCTACTAAAAATTCTATTGCTTCTTTCATATACTTATGAAACTTTTGTAATCCTTTATGATCATTGAGATCTTTGGCAAAGGATGTGTTTTCATATAAACAATGTAACGGAGTTTTTCCAGTGCTATTTGAAACACGTTTGAAATTTGCGTTATATTCTTTCAAAAGTTTAAATATCTCAATCAATTTCCTTCTACTACAATATCTTGCAGCGATTATTACAAGATTTTCTCTCGTGTTTGTAAAAAGAGAGTCTCCATTAACTTTCGCACCATAGTAAAAATGATGACGTAATCCTACAACGTCACCAAATCCAGCGTGATAGCCGGTATGGCATTCTTCAGTATCTTCATAACCCAACACAGTTCCAAATTCTTTTTTATATCTTTCCTTAACCTCAATACATTGTTGTATCATTGGGCACTAAAGGCAAGGGCAAACAAATTCGCAAAAATATATTATAAACCAGATCATAAATAAATGAGGAATAGTCTAAAAAAAAAAAAAAAACAACTTACCTTTATATTTATAACGCTAGTGAGATAGGCACTATTGCCATTAGGAAAGGGGAATTGTTTACTACCAGAATTTGGAGCATTAGGCGTTTGTATTGGAGTAGTATTAGGAGGTTGCCCACCAGAATTTGGAGGTTGCCCACCAGAGTTTGGAGGTTGCCCACCAGAATTTGGAGGTTTTCCACCACCAGAATTTAGAGTAACGGGAGTTTGCCTACCAGAATTTGGAGCAGCACCAGGAGTCTGCATACCAGAATTTGGAACAATATTGTGATTTTGTTGTATAAAACCTGTTGCGTTTTGTCCACTAGGACCTAAATTAACACCGTTTGGAGGTTGAAAGTTTTGAGGCATATTTGAATGGATAGGTTGAGTATGAGTATATGTATTTTGTCGACTTTGTGGATTTCCTTGTACATTTACAGTTGGATTTCCACCTGGACCTGGACCAATATTGTTTATATTACTTGGAATTGGGTTAGGGTTAGTGTTAAGGTATTGTATACTATTTCCGTGGTTGATTTGTTGACCTCCACTTAGTGCAGCCGGTTTAGGGGGAATGGATCGTTGATTCACTATAGGTATAACTGGAGCAGATTTTAGAGCGATGTGATTTTGATTTGTTTGTGGATAACCTCGTGGTTGATTATAATTGCCAGTAAATGGTTGCTGGTTAAGATTTTGACCAAGGTTATTAACAACAACTGGTTGTTGTTGAGATAAATGATTTTTACCAGGAAGGTTATGAATTGGCATTGGATTTTGAGTGACATTTTGTCTAGTAAAATTCTGAGCAGGAATATTAGCTGGCACTTGATTATTATGTGGTATTTGACCGGTAAAATTTGGATTATTGGGTGGCATTTGATTATTATGTGGTATTTGACCGG